AGCATGCTAATTGCCCTGCAAGAGTACAAGTAACTACAAACTGGTGCACCTTGTTTATCACACAGGGGAACGGCACTACTGTTATCAACATTGTAACTGTTGGATCTGAAAATGGGTGACGAAGTGGTTGAGCAGTCGAGGAGAGTGAAAACGTTGTCATCTGTGAAAGATAAGGGTGCATCTCAGTCTAGGCCGAAGCCTTTGCTAGTCTGAGAGCAACCGCCGCAAGTCGACATCGAAGGATCCGATATGTATATGACTTGGTTGCTGTCGTCTATGTTGGTTATGGGATAGCTTCCGGTGTGTGTTCTCAAGGTGAGTGTTTGTTGGTCAGAAGTTACGTATTGCTGAAAGCGTGGATCACCACAACTGACGCCAGTTCTGAACGGATACTTCATCGGGAGATTGCCACAGGCTCTTTGGCAGGCCTGAGACGAAACCAGGGGGAAGAAAGATCAAAGAGATGAAGGGGAGGAGAGCGAAGAAAGAGAAGTGTTTTAGCTTCATTGTTTTGGATAAACTTAGAGAATGCGAGAGGGAAATAGGGATGCTTGTATTCGTCCGGTATTGGTATATATTGTACCAATGAGTGAGTGGTTCAGTCCCCTTGGATCATCCGGACATACTACTCGAAAAACAATTATTCGATAAATTTTATCTTCACCCCTTAACATTAAATTTTACTAAAGGCTGGCAAGCTTTTAGGGTTCTTCACTTTTCCCTACTTATTTAGATGTCTTGTTATTCTTCACTATTGCTGGCTTTGCTGTCGAATGATGACCAGTTTTTTTAATCTACTTTTTAAAGCTTCTATTAGTTGATTCATGTTATCTTGGTTCGATCGCCTACACGTCGTAAAATGTCGACGAAGTTTCACAGTCAAAATCACAACTTGGGGGAATAAAGATAAATTTACAAGAGGAAAAGAGAAGTCATTGCACAAGTACATTGTTTTTTCTTGGTGTGAAAACAAAATGGCTACGAAAAATACATATAATTCGTCAAAATAATATTCGTTTGGCGAATTCATGAGCTTAATCTGAGTAAAATTAATTCTAAAACAAGCCCTAGGTCTACAATGACCGTTGATAGGAAATATGGGCTGTGACCACGATAGACCAAGTTATCTCTTTTGGTTTGAATAGAGAAATGTATTTAGTGATTATGATGAAGACCATATGTAGAGAATGATCAAGTATTAATTGTCTTAGTCTTAAACTTAGGCCATAATGATTATTTGTAGATTGTTTCGACACAAATATATTTGACTATTTGATAATATATTTGGCTTTGACATATCACGTGAATTGTCAGTGGTCATTGTCAAGAGATTAGTTGGTCGAAGACGATGGAACTCCAAAAGTATTCAAGTATTTTAGAAGCTTTGGTTGATGGAGTAATACTTCTATAGACTTCAATAGCCAAAGAAATGACAATGGATACGGGGATTGCGGAACAATGAAATTTCAAATCCTTGATACATTGCTAAGGACCCTGGTTGTCAAAGAGGGTTGATCTGCCACAACTTGATATGGCATATGCTGTAGGAAGCAGACGTTGACTCCCGGAATTGTTTAATCTGTACATTTTTAATTAATTAGAGAAAAACTTGTATAAATTTGCTTGATGGATCCACATTCATAGGAAAGATGGCAGAATTTTCATATGAGAAATAAATGAAGTGCCGAATCTCTCTTACACACACCCTCCAACCAGCTTTAAGCTTAATTAGCACTACACTCGACAGAATATTAAAAGTTTCGATATGTTCCCTTTTATTAGTTATTACAGCAAAATTTGTCTTCTTAAAGAACATTTTACTTCCTTGAAACAAATATATAAACTATTATTTAAGACTTACAGTTTATATATGTAAAGGTTTCTTTGATCATATATTGCTTCTACCTAACCCTCCACCCAGAAAAGAAGGGTAGGCACTGAACATACAAATGAATAAAGGTCCATTATTCCCGGCACTTAACTGTCTTTCTCATGAAATACGCAGTCCACTGCCATTGAAAGAAGAACAGCAATAATCTACACAACTACAAAAAAGCAATCAAGATGAGATTTTGCCGAATATAAATGCTCTTTTATATTCAAATAAAAGAAAGCATTCATTAGTTCAAGATGATATGTATATTAAAAGCAGGGAATGGAGACGATCTTTCGCTTTATATACTCTTTTGGATTTAACAACAAGTTTAACGGGTGTTGTGTGTGGTAGCTACCAGTGGTGTCCATCTTTAATCAGTCAGCATTAAATCTCAGTTTGTACATTTGGCAATGCACGTGGAGTTAAATGGCCTCTGCTTCTTTAGGGGTTTTCATGTATGAGAGGCTAATATCTTTGATTTTAGACTTGATGCATCCTTTTCTCTCCCAGCTTAAGGCTTTGGCATATCTTTTTTTCCCCTTTAATTACATGTTTCAATTATTTCTTGGTTTGATTGGATATTTAAATCATAATTTTATAATCACTTTAGGTCCACCTTTTAATTTATCAATATAATGTTTAGTATAATTAAAACTATAAAATATATCACTTAACAGCAATTAGAAAATCCAAAAATATATAAAAAAAAGTTTTAAACCCTAATACTCAATAGTTTTCTCTATATGTGTTGCTTGCCCCCTTTCTTTCTTCTTTGTTTGGCTCACAACAACACTAATTTGGTGAAGATAGTCGACTGTCTCTGAATTCAATTTTTTTATACTGTTTTTTTGTTTTTGTTTTTATTGTTTCAAATAACTCTAACTTTATGGCATTTTTTCTATTTTCATGGTATATTTTTAGTTTTCTTTGTCTATCCTTTGGTCGTTCTCTTCGTTTAATTTTTTCAGGTTTAGATTTGACGTCGTTACAACCGATTAAGATGACGCTTATTTGTTATCGTGATGAGCATACTTTATGCAAACCTTCATATTAGATTTGGATGCACAATTTATGCAAACCTTCATATTTTAATTTTTTCTGGGTTTAATTGGATATTTAAATCATAATCTTATAATCATTTTAGGTTTACCTTTTAATTTATCAATATAATGTTTAGTATAATTAAAAAATATAGCGTGAAAAAATATCACTTAACAGCAATTAGAAAATCTAAAATAATAATATAAAAAAGTTTAAAACCCTAATACTCAATAGTTTTCTGTATACGTGTTGCTTGCCTCCTTTCTTTCTTATTTGTTAGAGTATGTCACGGGTACGAACATTTAATATCAAATGATTGAGAATTATTTTTGAAACATATACTACATTGTATTTACCTCATATTAAAAAAATATTTTATAGTACATTTTTGTTTTTGTTTTTATTGTTTCTAATAACTCCGACTTTATGACATTTCTCTATTTTTATAGTACATTTTCGATTTTTTTTGTCGATCATTTGGTCGTTCTCTACGTTTAACTTTTTCGGGTTTAGATTTGACATTGCCACAATTGATTAAGATGACGTTGATTTGTTATCACGGTGATCTTCCTTTATGTGAACCCTTGGATTAGATTTGGATGCAAAATTTACGTTCGAAGATAATTTTCTCATGATGTTCAACTCTAATTTATAGTTGTCGATGATCTTTTAGTAGTTTGATTTCCTATTGTGGTTCGTCTGCCATTGTAGTCATATCTTTTCGTATCTAGATTTTATTCAAGCTTTCTAGATGAGTTTTTAACATTTTCCTTATATGGTACTTATGACCTTAATAAGTGACTAATTTTTGTGTTTCTAATTTCTTGTGTTAATATTTATAAGAAATGTTCTAATTATGCGTTTAGATTACATTTATGATTGTAAGTCTTAATTGTAATTTTGTACTTTCTTCTTCTTTATTAAAACTAGCCATTTATATTTGTATAAAAAATTAAAATATAAAATAATATAATTTTGTATTTTTAAAATATTTTAATTTTTTTTGAACGTGACACTTTTTTATAATGTCATTTATAAAATTATCATATAATATAATATTTTTAATTGTTTTAGAATTTTAATTAAATAATTAATTTGGATCAAACATGAAAAATATTTTTTGGAAAAAAATTAAGTATTAAATTTCTGACTTTAGTATAAATTCATTATATATATAGAAAAAATTTATTTTATTTATCATATTTTTATTATAAGCATATATATATATGTGTGTGTTTTTATATGTTTATTATTGAAAAAAATATTTTTTATATGTAATATTTTCTAATTTTAAAAACATGAAATAAAAAACTTTTAAAAACCAAAACGTAACTAATTTTCTATGTCAATAATAGTAAATAATTCTATCAACAAATAACAATAAATAAACTCTAGGTTGTTGTACATATGAAAGCCCAATAGACATCTAAAGAAAATCATAAAGAAGCCCAATGACTACGATGAATCACTGTTTCAAGTCGCGACTGCAATTTGGTCCCTGGTTCTCCAGCCGAAGCAAGATCTTTGTGCCTCTATCGGCACTACGAAACCAAATGAAAGCAGGTTGCTAATGATTTTGCTCAAATTCAAGGTATCAACTTTTTTAACTTTTCCTGTTAATGGGTTTTCTTTGTTTTCTTTTCTATGCCATCGTTTTTTTCCCCTTTGAAGTGTTCTTTGAAATCCGCTACCAAGTGTAGTTCCATCCCTTTATTGGGTTTGTATATGGATTCAAATGAGATGATATAGTTATAGGAATTGTTGTTTTGTTTTGCCATGCTTATGGTAAAGAAACTAAAGTTAGCTTTCCTGATGTTTGATGAATTGCCTGTGAGAGAATTATTCATATGGGTATAGAAAAAGTTATATATTTAAGCTGTTGAAATAAGCTTCTTTCGTTAATACGTGGTTCAAAATTATTTCCCTGCACAAACAATAGGGATTGATGGTATATTTTTTTAGCTCGAATGCATCTTAGAGGTGATTGTATGGGCTCTTTGTAAGTTTCCAGTTGCAGAACTGGATATGGGATTTTAGCTGTTAACTAATTTATGTGTTTTCTCCATCGTCTCCATCGTCAGAAAAAAGGCCACTGAATACGATGCTGTGGAAATCTGGATGAATGAGCCTTTGCGTTTCGCATAAGACTTGCGTGAGGTGTTGATCTTTATGACTATTATTACCATATGAAGTAAAGGCATCATTAGCTAAATAGATGAAGTATTGATTTTTCCCTATCTATTTCAAAACCGATTCGAATAGCAGATTTTACATGCTTTGCTGAAAGGAGAATATCAGGTACATTAGATTTCACTGTCTGAATGGCATTGATTTGTATGTTCTTTTCTCATTTACTTCAAATCATTAGATATGCTTATTGATTGTACAATTCAGAGAGGTGAACTGACATTTTCCAAGTTATTTTCCGAGTAATTAGGCAATATATTGATATGCATGAAGCTCCCCTCTCCCGAAATCTTCTTGTTAAACCAATTCATGTATTGTTAAACTATTGAATTTGGCTCCAAATCAGCCCGTGGTTTATATACAAAGTTTAGCTGAAATTATTATTTGGAAAAAAAAAAGTTTAGCTGAAATGAGAAGAGAATGGTGAATTTGTAGAAATTGATTCAGTGTGTTGCCTGGTAATGATTTTATTGGGCACTTGATCTCATTTAGCATTTAGTAATGATAACATATTGCTGAAACTATGGTTTGACTGATTTGCTACCGTACTGATGTGTATTAATCCTCATCCTAATATATGCAGATTTTCCCATGATAATTTGCATTTTCTGTACGATGGTGTGATGAGAAAGTTCTTTCATTCTGTTTCTTCCGCATGGAGGGGAATTGCTGTATTGTTGAACAAGGATCCTCAAAAGTTCTCGTGATGGGTTTCTCCTGCAAAGATGAACAGGTTTTCTGTCTCTTCCCTGAGCCATTGTTTCCAGTGCTTATCTAATTGCTACCCCCAAACTTTTGCCCTAAATTCTGGTCGATTTATTCTAAAAAGATATTTTGGCCAAATACTCCACTCGTCACATTATGCCAATACCAGGCCTTTTCCCAATTATTCCCCAAAGAAACCTGCCATCAAGGACTCAGAACTTGTGCATCAAATCTCAAATTCAATAAAACTACGCCGTTCTGAGCCGCTCTGTCGTGTTTTAAAACCGTATGAGTCCAAATTTAGATCTGATCATTTGATTTGGGTTCTGATGGTCATTAAGAATGATTACAGACTTGTTTTGGATTTCTTTGAGTGGGCATGCTTGCGTAGGGACCCGACACTTGAAGCCCGTTGCATTGTTGTCCAAATTGCTGTAGCCTCAAAAGATTTAAAAATGGCTTATCAACTTATTCATGACTTCTGGTCAAAACCTGATTTGGATATTGGTCTATCATTCAGTTACTTCCTTGAGCGTTTAATTTACACTTACAAGGACTGGGGTTCAGATCCCAATGTGTTTGATGTTTTTTTTCAAGTTCTTGTTGAAGCCGGTTTGCTTGATGATGGGAGGAAGCTCTTCGAAAAAATGTTGAATTATGGGTTGATTATCTCTGTTGATTCTTTAAACGTATATCTTGGTAAATTAAAAGATCATTTTGATGGGTTTTGGAGGGCTGTAGAGGTCTTCGTTGAACTTCCTGACATTGGCATTTGTTGGAATACAGCATCGTACAACATTATCATTCACTCGCTCTGTCAATTAGGGAAAATAAAAGAAGCTCACCGTTTACTCTTGCAGATGGAGTCGAGGGGCTGTATTCCTGATGTTGTAACATATAGCACCATAATTAATGGATATTGTCATGCAGGGAGGCTGCAAATGGTATTACGACTCATTGACGAAATGCAAACGAAAGAATTAAAGCCTAACCCTTATACCTATAGCAGCATAATTTATCTTCTGTGTAAGACTGGTAAGGTAGCCGAAGCAGAGAAGATTTTGAGAGAGATGTTGAACCAGGGAATACTCCCTGATAATGTGGTATACACAACTCTTATAGATGGTTTCTGTAAGCTAGGGAATATTTCTTTCGCGTATAGGTTGTTAAATGAGATGCAGGATCGAAAAATTGTCCCTGATTTATTAACTTATACGTCTATAATCCGTGGACTTTGTCTAACCGGAAAGATGACAGAAGCTCGTGCTATGTTTCAAGAAATGCTTGGTACAGGGTTGGAACCCGATGAATTTACGTACACAGCACTTATTGACGGTTATTGTAAGGCAGGTGAAATGAAAGAGGCCTTCACCCTCCACAATCAGATGGTGCAAATGGGGCTTATACCAAATGTTGTCACTTACAGTGCACTTGCCGATGGCCTTTGTAAATGCGGGGAGGTAGATACAGCGAATGAGCTTCTTCATGAAATGTGTGGAAGGGGCCTTCAACCGAACATTTTTACTTGCAACTCTCTTGTCAATGGGCTCTGTAAATCAGGAAACATCGCTCAAGCTATTGAACTGATGAAAGATATGGAGATCTCAGGGCTTCATCCCGATGTTATTACGTACACCACTCTTATGGATGCTTACTGTAAGACAGGGGAGATAGATAAGGCTCATGAGCTTCTGAGGAAGTTGTTGCATAGAGGAATTCAACCCACGCTTGTTACGTTCAATGTGCTGATGAACGGGTTTTGCATGTCTGGACTGCTGGAAGATGGTGAGAAGTTACTGCAATGGATGTTGGAAAAAGGTATAACGCCTAATGCGACGACATATAACTGTCTTATGAAGCAGTACTGTATGCGAAAAGATATGCGTGCGACGGCTGCAATGTGGAAAGGTATGCGTGCGCAAGGAGTGATACCGGATGCCAACTCGTATAACATTTTGATACAAGGGCACTGTAAAGCGAGGAATATGAAAGAGGCATGGTTCTTACGCAGAGAAATGATTGATAAGGGATATGATCTTACGGCGAGTTCGTACAACGTGCTGATAAAGGGTTTTATTAAGAGGAAAAAGTTGAGTGAGGCGAGGGAAATTTTCGATGAGATGAGGAAAAAAGGCTTGGCTGCAGATAAGGAGATATATAGTATTTTTGTTGATATAAACTATGAAGAAGGGAACATGGAAACCACACTTGAACTTTGCGATGAAGTGATAGAGAACTGCCTTGTAACCAAGCTTAATAATGAAAACAAGTAGCTTGATTTTTTTTATTTGGTCTCCTCTTGATTGCTAGCTGCTCTCGGGTTGTCATGGCTGAAATTGATATTGTTGGGTTTGCTTGTGTAACCAAAAATTTTCTTGAGATTTTTTGTTTAATTTTATAAGTAAATTAAAATTGTTATATCTCCAAAATGATCTTTGAAAATATTCAAATTTTAATCAGTTGGTCAATCAATTATAATATGTAGATAGAATCTTTGACAGGATCTCATGGTACGTCATAATAAAATTCAAAGTTTAACGATCAAATTTGGCTGACTCGTCATAATAAAATTCAAAGTTTGACTATCAAATTTGGCTGACTCGTCAGCCAACAATTCATAATAATCCTATAATTGAAACGTACACTAAAAGTTACTTTAATTAACCACAATCAAGACCAGAAAAGAGATGAATCTCGGTTAGCTCATTTCCTTCTTTCTCATGATAATTCATTATCTCTCTCCTTCAAACACCGGCCAATAGTAATTTTTTCATTAGTCATGGTTCTTCGTCCAAATCAGTAGAGATAAATCATCATAGTTGACAAAATACATTACCTTACAAGTCTCGGATCAATTTTTTTTATATCATTTCTCTCGACTAAGAGATATAATTTGTTATTCTTCCATAAACCTTCTCTGAAAATACTCGAGTTTCAATTAGATAATAAATCAACTATAGTATAGAGATAATGCCTCTAACGAATCACGTGATGTGTCATATGATTGACGCGCTTATTAAAACCCTTATAAATACTCCAATTAAAGATGAGAAGATGAGATGGATCTCAATTGAATATTTTTTTCTGTATGATAATTTATTTTTCTCTTTTTCAAATATAGATCTATGATTATTATTTCATCAATGATACTTCTCTATCTAAATTAGAAAGATTAATTACTAATGATCGAGGAATTAATTAATCTTCTCATCAACAAAGATTATTATATATTATTTATATATATATATATATATATATATAAATCCTAGGCAGCCAAGTCGAGACCTTTACCATATACACGAAACGATTTTAACCACAATATTAAACATACTATTAGATTCGAATCGACGATGTCTTACTAAAAGGAACAAACACTAAACGACACAATTTTATTGATCATTAAGATTTGTTTTGTATCAATGTTCCCCGCTAGTAAGAAAGATTAAAGAAAGAAAATCGTAATAGAAACATTGCTCCTAATCTTAAGAAATTTCACAACTTCAAGTCATTGGTCTCAGCCTGGTAAGAAAGATTAAAGAAAGAAAATCGTAATAGAAACATTGCTCCTAATCTTAAGAAATTTCACAACTTCAAGTCATTGGTCTCAGCCTGAAAGCATCTAGACGACAGGACAATCAGGGAACCGGTAAAACCTTCCTCACTAATAACAAATCCCACGCGTCATTCACCAAAAGCACTTTCCCACTCGCAATCCCGGTATAGACATATTAATCAAATACGTGTGGATAGGCCTGTAAATGAACTGAACGTTCAACGAACCGTTCATGAATCGTGCGGCGGAAAGTTCGTTTATGTTCGTTTAATTATTAAATGAACGAACACGAAAAAGATTATGTGTTCGTTTAATTAAATGAACGAACACGAACATAGGTCTCGTTCGTTCATTTATGTTCGTGAACGTTCGGTTATGTTCGTTTATGTCCGTTCGGTTATGTTCGTTCATTTATGTATAACTCAATCTTCTTAAATCCATTTTGGTGATCAATTTGTAAGTATCTTAAAAATATTAATTAATTTGATATTCTGATGACCAACTCCATAATTAACCCAATTTTATTTGGAGATTAAATCCAATATGTTAACTCGTGAGGCACCTCACACCTATATTCATTTTTCCCCTTTTTTCCCAAACTCTAGTATTCACTAGAGAGTGGAGACGATCGGTGAAAACTTCAAAACAAGTTATATTATAGTGCAATCTGAAGTTTTACATGTCTGTTTTCATCTCTCTCTGTTTTATTTGGCTTAATAGTTGAAATGTAAAGTTATTGTGGGCATCTTCACATCTAAAACTCAAGAAAACATCATACTTCTTTTTAAAAATAGATGGGAAGATAAATGTAACAATCGAAAATATATGAGCATTAGTAAAGAGAAAATTATATAGAATTTGCCAGAAAACAAAACAAAAGTTTCTATGCAATTTCTGAAAGTGTAATAGCGGAAGTAATACACTTTGACAATGAACTTTTGTTTTCATAGTTCTTGTGTGACCTTTAGTTGTGGAGTAGACTTTAGGTACGTTAAAATTGTGAATGGTGGTTTAGCAATAATATCAGTCAATTTCTGAACAAGGGTGTAATAGCGGAAGTAATGAGTTTTCCATACAGAACCCATTAATAAGTAGAAAATACACTTTGACAATGAACTTTTGTTTTCATAGTTCTTGTGTGACCTTTAATTGTGGAGTAGATTTTAGGTACGTTAAAATTGTGAATGGTGGTTTAGTAATAATACCAGTCAATTTTTGAAAAGAGTTAATAGCTGCATGCTGTTAAATTTTCTACTCTGCCAATGGAAATGAACATTATTAGCAAATCTCACTAAAGTCCGACATTGATGTCACAAAACTTTTAGTCGGCGAATTTATTAAAATAACGTAGTGAAAAATGATTGTTCATATGTAATTATAGACCACTACGATAAATGTTATAGTGTTAAATTAAAGTCGTGTGAATCATTTAATATCTTTAAAAGATCGATTGAAATATCTGATATCTTCAAACATTTCATCACTGCTAATTAGCTCTTACGCTATTTATCACTGTAGATTTTGTTGATTTGCATTGTCGACTATTTTTCATGAAAGAATAATGGAAGGTAAGAGTCCAACGTTTATGTTCGTTTCACTGCTAATTAGCTCTTACGCTATTTATCACTGTAGATTTTGTTGATTTGCATTGTCGACTATTTTTCATGAAAGAATAATGGAAGGTAAGATGTCCAACGTTTATGTTCGTTTATGTTCGTGTTCATTTATGTTCATATTTGTTTATGTTCGTGTTCATTTATGTTCGTGTTCATTTATATTCGTATTCGTTTATGTTCGTATTCGTTTATGTTCGTTTATTTATTAAATGAACGAACATGAACAAGTTATATTCCTTAATGAACGAACATGAACAAAAAAAAATTTGTTCGTTTATATTCGTGTTCGTTTATGTTCGTTTATTTATTAAATGAACGAACATGAACATACATCCGTTCGTGTGCGTTCGATTCGTTTACAGGCCTACTTTGGCCTACATTGAGTAACGCCCTTTGAGCGCGTGGGATATTGACTTCACTTCCCCTTGTAATAAACGAGGGCTAGCACCTGAGCTGGAATTTTCTTTTCAATTGTCAATCCAAACTTTAGACTTTCATCCCTTCCATAATATTAATTTCCACTTCATCTTCGAATCTTCCTTGTCCCTTCATAACCTTGCTTACTAAGAAAATTAAATAAAATTCCAACGACTTTAATCCTTACAAGAAATATCAAACAAAACAAACTTTTCCAGCCAATTACTATACTCTGAAAATCTAGAATAATCAAATTCCAATCCCATTCTAGAATAACAAAATTACTGCATGTCTGCTTATTTTATATTTCCCCTGTATACATAATACTTTCAAAAACCATTTTCCTTGTGTTGTTCATATATGGAGATTTTTACAAAAGCCAAGGTTGTGAAACTGAGGAGTCACCTCGAGAAATATCTAGTCGCCGACGACGATCAAGAAACCGTACGTCAAAGCCGGAACAGCTCCGGCAGCAGAGCTAGATGGTTTGTCGACTAGTTTGGGAATGACGGGAAAAAAGGTACTGCAAACCGTACCTGATAAGATGGACTGGAAACTCCAGTGGGAGCCTATAAGAGACGGCTTCCAAATAAAGTTCAAGACGTGGAGCGGTAAATTTCTGCGCGCGAATGGAGGGACGCCGCCGGGAGGTGGTTCAGGTGCCCGAGTCGGAGTCGGTAATGGAGTATATATCGTCGGTTTCTAGCTTTTCTTCGGTGTCCGAAGAAGTTTTAGAGGCTTTGAGCGATGATGTATTGGGGTCAGGGCCACAGTCGCCGACCTCCGTCGTGTCGTCGTTTAAGTCTTCGAGGTTTTCGATGATTTCGACGGGATCACCAATGTTGTCACCGACAGAGGTGCGTACTGTGCTTTGAAAAACCTTTTTACTTAATTAATTTGTTGATTGGAAAGTTCTCTTATTAATCTAAATCTAATCAAAGTCGAACGAAATTAGTTTATAATAATTCAGTGTTCTAATCAATTATTGATCATATGATTTTTTTTCCTTTGGGTGTGAAATCAATGGTAGTAGGGATGACAAATCAAGGATTGCTTGAATGATAATATAAAGGGTTTAGGATAAAGACGTTAATTTTTTTAGCTTAATTGAAAATTAAATATATAAACTATATTTATTGATTAGTGGTTGCTTCACACGTGAATTAATTTTTAAAAACCTTTAAATTTTAAAAATTTTAAAATACTCAAATTTTTAGTAATTTAAAGATTTCATAATATTTTAGAAAATTCAAAATTAGATTACATGTCAAGTATTGATTATATAATAATTCTTTTAACGAATATTAATAGTTAGACATCTTAAATAATAATTATAAAAACATTACTATTTACTTTTAAAAATATTAAACACATAAACGAAAGAAAATAATTCAAACACTTGTATTTTAATTAAATAATAATTTTTAGATTACAATTAATTTCAATTGTCCTTTTCACAATGATAATAAAATAAACTATTGAATTAGTCACTTTTGTGGATTGATTTTCCTTAGCGGCAACGTCTTCTTCACCTTATACATAAAGTATTACGTTTATTTTACATATAGTCACACTCACCTTAGTTAAACCGGTTGCTACTTTGTAATTACCAAACAAACCGCCAAGGCACAACTCAAACACCTTTCACTGTGTATTACTTGGGGTAAACTAAGTATCTAATCTTAAATATCACTTTGATT